CTTCAGAATCGATACCCTTAAACCCACACTGGTGAGGAACCCTCACCACTCACACCCACACAATTCCACGTCTGTACCAAACTTGTACCTGACTTACACCATGGCCAAGTTGTACATGTGTAGGAACCTCCCATCAGACACCATGTCTGCACCAAACCTGTACCTAGTGTTGTTGCCTGCTGTATATATATATACTTACACCATGGCCAAGTTGTACATGACTGTATACATGTAGCTGCCAAACTCCCATCAGAACTTATTTATTACCGAACTGCAGGAGATTAATGTTGATAATCCCAGCTGCAAGGACAGGAAATAACCTGTCAGCTTAGGGGCTCTGCATGGGGGATAACCTGTCAGCTTAGCGGGGCTCTGCATGGGGGATAACCTGTCAGCTTAGCTGTGTGGGGCTCTGCATGGGGGATAACCTGTCAGCTTAGCTGTGTGGGGCTCTGCATGGGGGATAACCTGTCAGCTTAGCTGTGTGGGGCTCTGCATGGGGCTTTTTAATGAAATCTTATTACAGATTCTTGTCTCAGGGCTAATTGATAGTGACAGCAGAGAATAGAAACGGAATAACAACATTGGGGAAACTAAGAAGAAGGTCTCCCGTGCTCTTATGCCGAGCGTAGGGTGGTGCCGATCTACATTTCCGTAGCCCTTGGGCGACACACAATTGTGCAAAGCACTACAGCAGGGGGCAAGTCCGCTGGTAGTGCTGTGGTAGAAACTAAAGGTTGTCATATATTAAATGATAATGTCTGCAATTATTAGGTTTACTGGGTTTGACTTTTTTGTACGCTGCTGAATCAAAAGGGCCCACTTTCCAGTACTGCGTGTTCGTTATTACAGAAATGTGAATAATTCTTTTGTCTAAGCAGGATGATGCAACTGGTCATTATTTCCAGCATAATAGCTGTGGAGACAAAATGTACACGGGGAAATTTACTAAGTATCTAATATGTGAAGTTATTACGTTAGAATGGGTGTATGGAGGATGATTTTGATGATCTGCAGCAGTCATAAGTTTTAAATTGCTTTTAGGTGGAATTCTGGGTTTACTATATTGAGCTTTCACTTGTAGTAAGAAGTAGCCTGATTTGAAGGAGGAAAGAAAATTGTGAAATGTTTCAGACTCTAAGAAACAAATTTCTGGCCCAATCAGTGAAGCAGTCATCCGTGCTGTTCCATGTGATAACTTCCTGGCCTCCACATTCCCACTGGGGGAAGTCTGATTGGTTCAGTGACCACTGCTGCTTTTTGATAGGCAGTTCAAATATAGATCTGGGAGGGCCCAATGGTGCATTAAGCATGGTGGTTCACCCAGACCAACAGGCAGAGCTTTGGACACATTTCACCAAGAATTTGTTAGAATCCGAGATGTTGCTAAGAGCTAAAAAGTGAGAGAAAAGCTGAAGAGCAACATTAGCTGAGACTCCCCCTAAAACATTCTCAAATAGGCTTGAAACCTTCAGCAGCTTTATGTCCAGGGAATTCCCAATGATTCTCTCCAACATTCCAGCTTCATGTCCAGTGAATTCTCGACTCCAATATTCCAGCTTTATGTCCAGTGAATTCCCGATGATTCTCCCCAGCATTCCGGCAGCATTCCGGCTTCATCAGCATTCCCGGGGGCATCGTTAGCCTTGGGGAAGAAGCGGAGCGCTGCAGACGTCACATCATCCAGGCAGATTCCTGATGAGCACGTCGACACGGTCGATGTCAGGCTCAGTGGAAAACCACTGAAAACGTCTCTTCATCATTCATGCTGCTGCCGCGGTGTTTAAACATTGGGCAGACAGAGGGGAGCGAAATGTGAGGCATATTGACTGCTGAAAGGGCAGGATGAGGTTCAGTGTTGGCAGGGATGAGGTTCACAGTCAGGGTGAGCCGTTTTGCCGCAGTGTTATTTGATGCCAAAGAGGTGCAGATTTTCTAACTCCAAGTGTTTGGTACAGATAGGTTTATGGTTTATGGTTTGGGCTCTTTGGTTGATATGTTTGTCAGACTAAATGTGGAAGTTATGGCACAGTCGATACTGCCGACGATTGGATTGCATTTTACCCCCTCATTAAAGGCTGCAGTCTGCCCCAGGCAGAGTGACTGATGGGAATGATGGACATTAAATTCCATCGATTTTCCGCCGTGCAGAAGCCGGCCTTTCATCGCGACGCCGCAGCTCTGCTTCGGGGAGTCTTTGATTTCCGTTTCTCGGGAATTCTGGCCTTCGATTGGCTCCGGTGCCTCGCTTTGAACCCAGACAGACGGTCAATAATTTGGAGCAGATGGGAGATTTGGGGGACAGTCGAGCTGGCTTGTAGCTCCACTAGTGGTTTAGTCAACTCATAGCTTTTAACTGGTTCAGGTGGGAGATTTGGGGGACCGTCCGGCTGGCTTGTAGCTGGACCACAAGTGGTTCAAATGGGGGATTTGAGGGACAGTCAGGCTTCTACAACTCTACCAAGTGGGAGATTTCAGAGACAGAAACTGCCCTCAGATCTGTCTGGCAGGCTTGTACAGACTGTTACGTAAGCTCCAAGTTCCACTTGGTTTTGGTGAGCTCTGGGGCGTGCAGGCTTCTCATTGTTCAATAATAGTTTTTGGGTTTCACAGTGATGAGGTCACAACTGGAAGTTTCCAATACTCCATGTGAAATCCCATCCAGCCAAATCCTTAATTAGTCACTGGGCAGCTTGGCTATGGTCCAAATTTCCTATAAATGTGTACAATGGTGGAGGCATTTCAGTTGGCTTTTGGATTGTGCAGGACTTGCCCAGTTCTGGCACTGACTGAGTGTTCATCTGATCAGACAATAACTAGGCTGGATGCTGCCAGGACTGCATTCTTGTTTCCGGGCACAATGAATTGATAGCAATAAATCCACTGCAGGGGCTCTACAAGGGTTATTGAGAACTCTACAAACACAGAGGGCCTGAGTGGGGACATCAGAGAACTGGTTGCTCATGGGTCTGCTGTTGTCTTTAATGCTGAAGACACAAGGCTCTGTTGGGGGGTTGTTGAATGCTACACTTGGATTTAGATAGAAACTGGAAACTAAGATTTAACTTTCAAGATATCAAATACTAAACAAGCTCCTGTTTTGCTGAACATAACAAGTTTCCTCTATATTAGCTACAATGTAAGAAGGCATAACAAATTGTAAGACAGAACTGTGTTGATGCAGAGACCTGTAATTGTAGATATTCATTTTTTGTTCCAGTCAACAAAAGCTTCATCGTTGCTTTGTACAACATGTTGTTTCAGTCTTGAAGTTTCCCTTTTCCTAACCCTTGAGTTGAGGAATAAACATGTAGTGACATTGTATGCATGGCTGATACTGTTGTATGCATCTCTGGTACTGTTGTATGCATGGCTGATACTGTTGTATGCATGGCTGATCTGGTTATCCATTTCACTTGTCTGTCCTCCTCATGTTTAATTGCCGGAACGGAAGTTTATTGCAGGCTAAAGTCTGATTGGAGACGTTTCATCAAACCTCCTTTCCGTGATGCAGGTCTATTGGAGTAGCTCTTAACGTAATGATCAATAGACTAAAGTCAATACTGAGTTTTACTCCTTCTCCCCTTTGTGCTGTTATGTCTGGTCCGACGAGCTTTGTGGCTAATTGATGGCTGTTGGATGTCCTGTCATCATTAACCAGATTAGTGAATGAAGGAATAAATGTACCTTTATTGCACACATCTACCCACTGGGATCAGTACAGGTCACAACTGCTGAAGAATCGTTTACAGATAGCGTTAAATATTTGCTTTGTCAAGTAATTACAACTAAGTACATGAATTCTTGCTTCTTAATAATGGTAAAAAGGTAAGCATGGAATCCGATATGCTTCATAATTGAAGGTTTGTCTAAGTTCTTTAGAAACATAAATTTATCTGTACAGATTTAGGAAGAAGGGAACAAGGATTGTATCAGACTAAGTTCTACTCACTTTTGTTGTGCTCTATAAAATGTTACAAATTATAGCTCATCTTCAATTCTTCTTCTAATAGATCACCGTATCTACATCACTTATTATGTACAGTTTGTTGCTCCAAAGAAGTGTGGTTGTGTCTTCCGATTTTGATGTAGTACATGTACATTGTACTGTGGGAATTATGACTTTTCTGAATGGCTTAGCAGCCCCTCCTGGCAGATGAGCGTGGAACAGCAGCTAAAGCCTTTCTAAGGTTTGATTTGAAAAGCAGACAAACAGGTTCAGTACACTGGGTGAAGCTTACCGTATTTAGTTCACTGCCTCCTACCCTGAAACTCCTACAAGACTGCCAAAGGAAGGATCTGGGCTGTTGGGAAGTAAGTATGATCTTGCTTCTTTCCTGAGAGGCTTCTGCTGGGTCCAACTCACCAGGTAAAAACTGAGTCCAACACACCAGGTAAAGGTACAGGTATGGGTAGGAATGTCTCCACGTATTTCTTGATCCTTTTTGCAGGAGGTTTTTAGATGGCAGCTCATTTCTGCAGGTGGATTTCAGGTGGTGGTGAAAGCTGTAATGCCAGTGGAATTTACACTAATGGAATTTTTCTTAAGGAAATATCTGTTCTTAAGGTAACTAGGTGATCTTCCCCTCTAACCAAACTGTTTTTTCTGCAGGTGAAATTCTCAATGCTACCAGACACCTGTTTTTCCAGTGATCAACAGTGCTGTTGTATAGGATGAACAGGGTAGAAGATTAGTACTGAATCCACTGGCAACATTCATTCACAAAGTGCTGGAAACTTTTCTAATTTTCTGTATTTTCTACAAAAGGATGTGGATCTCAGCTAAGTTAGCACCTGTACAAGTTTACAGGTGGTTTTGTGGTTTTCAGGTGGCTGTGAGGATCACCCAGGCAAATTTTCTCTGATGCATTTTCATTCTTCCCTCTATCTGCACACTGAGGACATGCCAAATCTGAACATGTTTGTGTTGCCATGTTTGTGTTGCCATGTTTGTTTACTGTTGCCATGTTTGTTTATTTGTTTATTGTTTACCTTTGCAGGTGTTCACTAGGTATGGGAAGTGCTATACCTTCAACTCCGGGAGTCCGAACCAGCCTGTGCTGAAAACGCTGAAGGGCGGCATCGGCAACGGGGTGGAGTTTTTCCTCGACGTTCAGCAGGAGGACTACATGCCTGCATGGGGAGAGTCAGGTTAGTACTTATAATAGCTTACACACACACAACTAGCTTACACCTACAACCTTATACACAAAACGTTCAGCAGGAGGACTACATGCCTGCATGGGGAGAGTCAGGTTAGTACTTATAATAGCTTACACAGCTTACACAGCTTACACCTACAACCTTAGAACAAAAACGTTCAGCAGGAGGACTACATGCCTGCATGGGGAGAGTCAGGTACAATTATCTTATACATTACACACACACAACTAGTCTTAACTTCCCATAGCTAATACACAAACATTCAGCAGGAGGACTACATGCCTGCATGGGGAGAGTCAGGTTAGTACTTATAATAGCTTACACAGCTTACACAGCTTACACCTACAACCTTAGAACAAAACGTTCAGCAGGAGGACTACATGCCTGCATGGGGAGTGTCAGGTATGTAGTCTTAACACACACAACAAGTCTTAACTTTCCATAGCTACTGTAGCCATAGTTAGAACAAAACATTCAGCAGGAGGACTACATGCCTGCATGGGGAGTCAGGTTAGTACTAATTACACATCACACCCACAGAACTAGCCTTAGTATGAGAACAAAACGTTCAGCAGGAGGACTATACATGCCTGCATGGGGAGAGTCAGGTATGCTCAATACTCACTCATGTTAACTTTCCATAGTAACATACTTACAAAATGTTACCATGGCTACAGTCAGTAACTACATGCTGGCATGGGGAGAATCAGGTCAGAACTAGTCGTGTTTCGGCTTCAGCCTTAATGTAAACCCATCAGGTTTCTCATCTCATTCCCATCTGGGCTCAAAAAATGTCATTTGATAATGAGAGAGACATAGAACATTTTAGGGACACAGAAAGTTATTAATACATATTTTCAGGAATTTGTACTTGCTAGTGTTATTATAAGCATGTGACTATTCTGCAGAGGAACCATCACCTCACAGTCTGACATGTTATGTAAATGGCTGATGGATTATTTAAAGTGTTTAGCAACTATCAGAGGCTGATGGTGTTTGCATGAAGCAATTACAAATTGCCAGCTCCCCTTGTATTTTCTTTAAGCTCCTTGAGGGCCAGTAAGTTGGGGAGTTAAAGATGTAGTCAGACCAGCAAAGTAGCAGATTGCTGTTTGCTTGTGTTTTGCACGGCTTTTTCTACACGATGTATTTTTCAGATGAGGTCACCTTTGAGGTGGGCCTGAAGGTGCAGTTACACACCCAGGAGGAGCCGCCCTTCATACATGAATTGGGGTTTGGCGTGGGGCCAGGGCACCAGTATTTCCTTATGACCCAAGAACAGAGGGTACAGCCTTTCTCTGTACTAGCCGTGTGTCCGTGTGTATTAATCCCATACTGCCTTTCACCCACAGATGAAGTAACGTTTGAGGTGGGCTTCAAGATTCAGCTGCACACGCAAGAAGAGCCACCCTTCATTCATGAACTGGGCTTTGGCGTGGGGCCTGGCATGCAGTATTACGTTTCAACACAAGAGCAGAGGGTACAGTTCCGTTCTAAATCTCCTCGGGCTGCGGATGACCGGAATCTGGTTCCACCAGCGACACGACTTTGACCTTCGCCGCGCCAAGTTTGCTTGGCAGGAGGTTTTCTCCTCAAAATAGCATGTTACCATAGCAACGGGACAAGGTTCAGCTGCAGGCTGCTAGACACAGTTTCAGGGTTGCTTTGTTTGTTTGTTTGTTTGTGATGATGAGATACTTAACTGACGATGACAGTCCTGGTTTAGCATGACCTAGTGCAGTTGCGGCTGACTGTTGGATGTTGGAAAGTTTAACGCCTCTTGCTAAAAGCTCACAGATTAACTATTTGGCACACCTTTTAGCTTATTGATGACATATTGACAAAGTTCTATCCTGCATGTGTCCCCAATTTGTTACTCAAAAGAAAAATATTTGCCACGCAGTATCATCATTGACGGTGTAAGATATTGAGTGCACAGAGACATGACAGAGCCCTCTATAAACCTCCCACTATCAGCTGAACTCTGACCTCACTATCAGCTGAACTCTAACCTCACTATCAGCTGAACTCTGACCTCTTACTGTCAGCTGAACTCTGACCTCTTACTGTCAGCTGAACCAACTTTGCTGCTTCCCCCTCCCATGTGCAAAGCCGGGTCAGTAGCTCCAAGTCAGTCACACAACAGAAAGCTGTCTAGAAATGCACATTCCTTTGTATTTTAAAAATTTGTTTCTTAAAGTTTTCAGCTTTAAACTTCAAGGATGCTACAACTCATGATCATGGACAAACTGTTGACTTTCCATGGGGGTTGAGTTGTATTCAAGTTGAAAGGTTAAAACATGTTGGAACATAGTCATTAAAATGTTCCCTTTGGCCTATGAGTGTTCGGAGCATTCTGCAGCAAAATTTGCATTTGATATTATCAGCCGGAACCAAGTGGAGCTGTTGTTTGGATGGACCAAGTATCATGAAACTGTCTGGATCACAACATTATTCTTCAATTGAAATTGAGATCATCAGAGCAAACTGATCTGCAGATGAGAAAAGAGTAATATACTACCAACCACCTGTTAGCCATTTACACAGTCAAGGAGCCCAAATTTGAGCCAAGCCTGAAATGAGGTGAGATTATATCCATGGTCAATATTGACTGATGCAAGTCATGAAGACTGAAATGCTTCCTCCATACGTATACATGTATGTACATTAGAGCTGGTCTGACCCTGGTTCTGCTGCTGCTAATTCTTCACTTATTCTGCCTTTCCTCCTGCCTCCCTCCTCGCATTGCTGTTAACATAACACTGACTTTTATTTGCAGGAGCCACACTCTCCACCGTCCTATTGAGAAATGACATGACAGATTTCATGCCCAAACTCTTATTTCCTTAATCTAGTTTGTGCTACACTAGATACCAGATATGCTAGACCAACATGCTAGTTTTCGAAAGGTAGCATGAAAAGTCCCCCTGACGCTTGATATTGGTACTGCAGGAGCCTTTTTTTCACTGGCTCTCCAAATTTGTCGGGAAAAACTTTCTAATTCTGCAACCAAACTTCACATGAGCATTTCTTCTGCAGTAACCCAAACTGCATCTTTTTCATCAACAGTCAAAACTCACTCCAGCTTTGACATAGCCACAAGCAAATTTCACAGTAGAAAAAAAAACACTAAGTAAACTGAAAGTCAACACTTAAGCTTTTCTAGTACATGTCCCAAAGTCAACACTACATGTCGCTTTCCTACTACATGGACATGCCATCATACTTTCCTTTCACATCCTGACCGGAAGGCAGACATTCACACTTACTAACATCCTGCCTCACAACAGTCACTTCTTCACACGTACAAACAACTTGCATATCAACTTTCACAGCATCTAATGCAATTTCATGGTGGCAAAACTGGATTTCAATTTTCTGGTCCTTCATTTTAAGTACATGTAGAAAGTTGAACCCATATATTTTTGTGTTGCCATCCTGAAATTGCATTGAACCTTTCAGCAGCCAAATTTCACACTGACTCCCTTTATCAGCCAAATTATCTTCCTTTATTAAGTAACTAAACTTGCTCAACTGACCAGTAACAAACATTATCTATCTTTACTGCTTTCCTCTGATATTCTTCCCTTATTCTCAGCAAACACATGACGTTTCTAACCATCATGTGTTTGCTCATGTTTTATTGACCAAACATCGGCTGGATATGTGCATCATGTGCAAGTGTGCCATGTGATACAGATATCCATGTGCAACTGTGATACAGATATCCAGCAGAGACTGGAACTTTTCTCACTCTCATACGAGATATGTTTGACAATGGGACGACTGCCTTTTCTAGACATGCATGGTTTATACCAAGGACGTTACATGAAGCTCCTTGGTTACTACCAAGGCTAGGGACAGGTGAAAGTAGACCCGTGGATGACCTTGAACGACCTTGTGTTCCAGATCACCTACCTGCCTGCTCCTTGGGGTCAGTGTAAGGCCGAAAACGACCTGACCTTTGACTTTGCCAAGTACACCACGTCGGCCTGTCGAATCGACTGTGAGACCAAGTTTGTGGTGAGCCAGTGTGGCTGTAAGATGGTGCACATGCCAGGTACAGTACTCATTCACTCACTCATTCTCTCACTCACTCACTCACTCACTCATACACACACTCACTAACTCATCACTCACTCACTCATTCTCTCATTCACCTACTCACTCACTCACTCACTCATTCACTCACTCTCACTGTGAGACAAAGTTTGTGGTGAGCCAGTGTGCCTGTAAGATGGTGCACATGCCAGGTAACCATTCACTCACTCACTCATTCATTCTTTCATTCATTCACTCACTCACTCACTCAATAACTCATACACTAACTCATACACTCACTCACTCATTCACTCACACACTCACTCATAAAAACATGTTTTTGCAGGCATAGTTTTCATTTTCAATGATTTAACAGCAAGCTGGAAACACAGTGTACTATGTACGTACCTGTTGAAGCCTAACATGTTTTACTCTGCTGTGATTTTCCCAGGGAACTTCCCCATCTGCACTCCTGACATTTATGTGGAGTGTGCTGACCAAGCCCTCGGTAAGTCCCCGCAGCTCTCTCAACTTTGCTAGATGCTTGATAGCCTCTGAATTTGCTAAGGTCCTGGCTACCGTCTGAGTTTGCTAGATCCTGGGCTAGCCTCTGAGTTTTGCTAGATCCTGATTTAGCCTCTGAGTTTTGCTAGATCCTGATTTAGCCTCTGAGTTTTGCTAGATCCTGATTAGCCTCTGAGTTTGCTAGATCCTGGGTAGCCTCTGAGTTAACAAATGAATAACTTACCTGATTGATATACATATTTGATGTGAAACTAACTTGAGCCATTTTGCCTGTAGATTTTCTGGTGAAGTCTGACAACAAGAAGTGTGTTTGCGACACGCCCTGCAACACAACCCGCTACAACCTGTTTATGTCCCACGTCAAGTTCCCCAGCGAGCAAGCCGTCAAGTATCTGGCTAGAAAGTACGGCAAGCCTGAAGACTACTTCAGGTGAGTGGGTCAGTGTTAACAGGGGAGTGGGGTTAAAGTAAGGCAAGCCTGAAGACTACTTCAGGTGAGTGGGAGTGTGCAATGTGCACATGGTAGTGGGGTTATTTGTACATGTGCACAGGGGAGTGGGATTAAAGTACGGCAAGCCTGAAGACTACTTCAGGTGAGTGGGAGTGTTAGCAGCCTAAACAGGGCAGTGTGGTTATTTGTACATATAGGGGAGTGTGGTTAAAGTACAATTGTGCACAGGGGAGTATGGTCATTGCCACCTAAACTCAGATAATGTAAAAAGAATCTCAATATCCAATGTTGTACCAGCATGATAAAATTATTTTCTGGATATAAAAAAACTGTTACAGATTGTAGATATTTTGCCCACTGATTGAGGTTTGAAGTTTTAGTTGCTGCTTGTCTGGAACTTGCCATTTCTGTATGATGTGACTGTATATTATGTTGTTTCCCCCCTTTGCTGAGACCCAGCATAGACTTGAACCAACATCATCGGATGTTTTCAGTCCAGAGCAGAGACTGTGCAGCTTGCATGTCGACTATTATAGCCGCTAGAATCTCAGCACAGAAATTGGAAAAAAAACCTCCCAGGGTATTCTTTTCTTCACACACAGGAAAAACACCCTGGTTTTGAACGTCTTCTTCGAAGCGCTCAACTACGAAACGATCGAGCAGCAGAAGGCATATGAGGTTGCCTCTCTCCTCGGTAGGTTGGGTGTTAGAGTAGCTCGTGTCGTGTCGTGCGTAACCTTGTGGGTCGTTTGTGTCTCTTCTCCCCAGGAAGAACACTCTGGTGATGAATATCTTCTTCGAGGCGCTAAACTATGAAACTATTGAACAGCAAAAGGCCTATGAGGTAGCCTCCCTGCTGGGTGAGTCTCGTGCATTGGAGTTGTTCTGATCCCCCCCTGCAGGTGCATGGCAATGGAACCTTCCACAAGCCTGACCACTGGAATTGGGTAGACACGGAGCAAACCATGTAGGATTGGAGGGGAACATCTGTCTTTTTTAAAAAACGCTGTTTTTTTATATTAAGGGATTTGAAAGACTTTTAGATAAAAACATCACAAGATCAATGTTGACTTATAAGACCCGACCATTGATAGAGTCAGCGTTCCTCTCCAATCTGCAGCTCCTCAAGTTCTGCCTCTGACTTTGGCATGTCACTGATGCATGGCACAACACAACCCCTTCCCAATACAAGACCCCCTTGCACAACACAAGACTCCCCAGCTGAAGACAAGACCCCCCTGCACAACACAAGACCCCCTGCCCTTACAAAGACCCCCCCAGCTGAATCTGAACACAAGACTGCGGCCTTACACACAAGGCTTCCTACAACAGGATGGCCACCAGACCCCTGAGCCGTCCTGCTTACTGATATCCTTCAGCACATTGCTGTTTACTTGCAGGTTGTCTGCATGTGAGATTTTGCAAGGAGACTGTTGGAATGTGCAGTTTTGGCCATGAGAACTCACAGGAACTCCTACATTTCTACCTACCTTGTTTCTTGACACTGGAACTGACCAGCTAGTGGAAGCCTGCAAGATGCATAACATGCACAGTAACTGTAACGGAATGAGATAGTTGAGATTACCCTAGGCTTATGACTCCTATACACACTTACTTACCAAACCTACACTTTGTAATCATTGCTGATAACAAGCAACCTACATGTACTTGTCTTGCTTAAACTGACCTCTGACCTTTGTACCTTTGACCTTTCCCAGGTGACATTGGTGGACAAATGGGCCTGTTCATTGGCGCCAGCATCCTGACTATTCTGGAGCTCTTCGACTACCTCTATGAGGTTTGTGACAATTCTTAACATTGTTTTGTAATCAGCATTAAGGGCAGTCTGATTGTAAAGTTTTGTTTATAGTAGTTGTAGTTGTTGTTCTGTTGTTGTTGATCATTGTTGTTGTTATTTACGTACTGAAGCACCGCCACCAGCCCCGCTTCGAGTCCAACGCCGTCTCAGTGGTTGTTGTTGAGCGTTGTTGGTTATTGTTGATAGTTGTTGTTGATCGTTGTTGTTGATCGTTGTTGTTGATCATTGTTGTTGTTATTTATGTACTGAAGCCCCGCCACCAGCCCCGCTCCGAGTCATCACCTGGAAGTGGCACAAATCTTTAAAACAGCCGCTCTTTCAGCACCAATGACAACTATTGAAGTTCCCAAGTGATCTCAGACATCTCCATGTTTGTTTGAACAACAATGATCCATGTTCCATGCAGGTACTGAAGGACAAGTGCACCGAGCGTCGCCACCAGCCCCGCTCCAAGTCCAATGCTGTCTCGGTGGTCGTTGTTGGTAGTTGTTGTTGATCGTTGTTGATAGTTGTTGTTGATAGTTGTTGTTGATCGTTGTTGTTGATCATTGTTGCAGGTACTGAAGGACAAGTGCACCGAGCGTCGCCACCAGCCACGCTCCGAGTCCAACGCCGTCTCGGTGAACCTGGAGGACTGCAAACGGGACAACAGCCGTGCCCCGCTCAGCTAAACAGGACGACTACAGGACGATAGTAGCACTACAACAGGACGACTTTAGCACTACAACAAGATAAGCCCACAGCAATGGGCAACTACAGGGCTTCTATAGTCTACAACAAGCTGAAGTAATAAATAATAAGCCTTCGCATAGCAAGAACATGATATAACCTAACCTTGTATGAAATAGGCAACGTTATAACAACACTTATCTTACTCACTTGGCAGTTGCTATGGCAACGGTTGCTAGGCAAGGGTTTTTGAACATTTGGGAAGGATCTGAAGAAAATGCTCTTTTCTTAGCAGCCAACTTCAGATGGAAAGGGGAGACGTCTAGTGGACAAAGTGGGGACTTTTGAAGAAGTTTGAATAGATAAATACTTATTGATTGATTGACTTTGAAGCTATATTCCTGTGAAAAGTAGACCTACAAGAGTAGCTATCTAGTTGGACCTGGACTATCCACTTCACTTCTATCATAGGCACGAACCTTCACTACGCGTACTGTACTGTAGATAACGCTTCGCTCGCTCGAGTGTTTAACCTCAGCGGTGACTTCAGTTGTCTGCTCTCCTTACACTGCTGAGACACCAACACAAGGTCACCTTGACATAAGACATACGTCTTAAGGTCATGCCAACGTCTTCAGGTAGGAGGAGAGCAGACAGCTGCCCCCACCCCTGGCTAAAGTGGAATCATCCAAAGTTCTGCTGCTCTGTTCGGTAGGGTTAGGTATTTAACTAGGTAGGTGCTTTCCAACTATGTTACTTAACCAAGGGTAGGTCTACTGTGTATTATAAGCCATGACATTGTGTCTAACATGTAAGTATAGCTGGCCGTGTATTTCCCACAGACTTAGAGAAACAATACCGGTAGCCTTAACCACTGTGCTGCATACTGGAATAGTAGTAGGATATCATAGTTCCACCAGTTGACCTTTATCTTCCAACCTCTGAACTTTCACACCCACAGTGTATTGGGGTCACACCAGTGCTGAACTTTGACATGTCAGGGGCGAGCCATTGTGTCAGTCTGCTGTAGAATCATGTTCTTTGTGAAACTGTGGTTCAAAATGTGTACAAGCAATAAGACAGGCTTTAACACTTCTCACGCATGGCTACAAAACTGGGCAGAACTGAGGCAGGATTGGACAGGATCGAACCGAATGTTAGAAACCGTTTTCACATGTCAAAACTGGCACCAGATTAGTTTGGCAACATCAGCATATCTGCTACTAATCCTCCATTCAACCTGGACATTCACACTAACATCAGCATAGCCCCAGTACCTGGTACCTGCACCATTCACCCTAACCATAGCCCCAGTACCTGGTACCTGCACCATTCACACTAACATCAGCATAGCCCCAGTACCTGGTACCTGCACCATTCCAGCATAGCCCCAGTACCTGGTACCTGTACCATTCACACTAACATCAGCATAGCCCCAGTACCTGGTACCTGCACCATTCACACTAACCATAGCCCCAGTACCTGGTACCTGTACCATTCACACTAACATCAGCATAGCCCCAGTACCTGGTACCTGTACCATTCACACTAACATCAGCATAGCTCCAGTACCTGGTATCCTGCACCATTCACACTAACCATAGCCCCAGTACCTGGTACCTGCACCATTCACACTAACATCAGCCCCAGTACCTGGTACCTGCACCATTCACACTAACTAGCATAGCCCCAGTACCTGGTACCTGCACCATTCACACTAACATCAGCATAGCCCCAGTACCTGGTACCTGCACCATTCACACTAACCACAGCCCCAGTACCTGGTACCTGCACCATTCACACTAACCATAACCCCAGTACCTGGTACCTGCACCATTCACACTAACATCAGCATAGCCCCAGTACCTGGTACATGTACCATTCACACTAACATCATCCCCAGTACCTGGTACTTGTTTGTTGATGTGTACCACAGTTTGCTATGGTATATATTTTTTCAGTTTTAGAAAACCTTCATTGTTTTCATGTAAGTAACATAAAATAGATGTGTTCAGTTTGGTTTGCTGCCAAAACGACAAGCCGCTAACTCCTGCTGCATGCAGAATCTTTCCATGGTTTTGTGCCAATCACTACCGTGCCAGATTATATTAACTACTCCTGCCATTTCTGTACTTTGCCATAGTCTAAGTTTGATATTGAAAGATGCAGTGTCAGATAGAAAGTTAACTGCTGTAGACTGTGCCAGGATGTGTGGCTGCCGACAGGGTTGTATTTGCTGTACAAATAGTCTTCCGGGAGAACCAAATCGCTCAGAGTCAGAATGTACAGTAGTACGCTCTCTGGACTCATGCAAAATGTACAAATTGGTCTGATAAAGGTTACTGCAGTAACTGTGACTTTACTACATGTACTTGCAACTGCTTGATGTCATCAAAGTGACAAAATCATGCTCTTCCAGAAATCTACAGGGTTTGTTCTAATTGTTACTTTACCTCAGACACGTTTGAACAACAAAGCAGCAAACTTGTGACGGCTGTGGTTTTGCCTAGCGGATTAGGTTTGTCGCCACGGAAAACTGATGAACAGGATCTGGTAAAACTGAACAGAAGGGTTCAATATGTACACAAGTTGTCTGATTTAGATGCTCTACAGAGGAACTTGGCAAATGGCGTGTAAAACTGATGTGTCGGAGCAGGTTGGTGTGTACCTCTTCTGGCACATATGGAATATGTAACTGTGTTTCTAACGTGGATGATTTTGTGGACAAGATTGTTGTGACTTTTCGCCAACCGAGTTGGCATATTAGCAGTGTGTCCGCTAGTGCTTACTTATCCCATTTGCATGTTAGGTAGGGAGTCGGCTGTGAACTGGGTTCTTTTACACCAGATGTTTGACAAGCCAGAAACATTACGTGTAGCTGCGATTCGCACCCGACGCTCGATGTAAGTATTTAGACACTATTAAAAACTATTTCTCTACTTTCCTGTACATTATAATAAGAGGCTGCGCCAGTAAAAACCTGTCATCTCTACATGTAAAGATTAACGCGTCTCCGCCCCTTCACTTCTGCTGAGGACCTGATCCTACTTTCTCATCTCTCCTCCAGATAATCTTACTGTAGATATCATCGTGTCATCGTAGTGGCCATCTTAAGTCTTAAACAAAGTCTTAAAGTCATCTTCTGACTTGTGGCGTCACTCAAGACGCTTCTACACGCGATGCCACAGGTCAGGGGTGGACGGAGACTTCTTGCAAGAACTGGTACCATGTCTTTAAGGAGCTGGCACCATGTCTTTAAGGAGCTGGTACCATGTCTTTAAGGAGCTGGTACCATGTCTTTAAGGAGCTGGTACCATGTCTTTAAGGAGCTGGTACCATGTCTTTAAGGAGTTGGCACCGTGTCTTTAAGGAGCTGGTACCATGTCTTTAAGGAGCTGGTACCATGTCTTTAAGGAGCTGGTACCACGTCTTTAAGGAGCTGGTACCCTGTCGTTAAGGAGCTGGTACCTTGTCTTTAAGGAGATGGTGCCATGTCTTTAAGGAGATGGTATATTGTCTTTAAGAAGATAGTACCTTGTCTTCAAACCTTGTCTCATGACATGTATGTGTTTAAGGAGATGGCACCTTTTCTGTTGTATGTCTTTAAGGAGATGGTACCTTTTCTCTTGTATGTCCTTAAGGAGATTGCATCTGTCTCCTGTTTGCCAGCCAGCCTCTATTACCGGTTGTGTGTATAACTGTGGATCTTCTAATAAAGCTGTGAACACGTCCGTCTGTCTTTTCTGTGTGTCCTCTTCTCCTCTTCTTTATTTGCACTTAAGTAAAAACCTAATACAAAGAAAAATACATAAGAAGAGTGTGCTGGGGGAAGGCAGAGACCAACTAAACGTGAACATACAAGCAGTAACTAACAAAAACTATCAGTTGAAATAACTGCATTGAGCTGAATCACCATTTGAGTTAACAAGATAATAAATTAATATAAGTTTCAGTACACAGACCAGGAAAAGCTGCGCTGGTCAGTTCACTCATTCACTCGCTCATTCACTCGCTCACTCATTCACTCACTCATTCACTCACTGACTCCATTCATTCATTCACTCACCCACTCACTCGCTCATTCACTCAACCACTCGCTCACTCTTTCACTCGCTCACTCACTCGCTCACTCATTTACTCGCTCATTCACTCGCTCACTCATTCAGTCGCTCATTCGCTCACTCACTCACTCACTCACTAGCTTGCTCACTCCTAATGCTCACAGTCCAGGAAAATCTGCTACGGGGTTTATCATTTGTGATTGCGTTTTTTTTCTTTTCTTGACCGACAAAGTATGAAAAGTCTGTCTCCAAAATATATAGTATTGTACAGTTACTACAACATTCATCATTCAATATTTACAATACACTAAACAATGTATTACATCACTTACATCATTGGTGGTAGACGTAAACGATATTAAAATCATTATTGAAATTATTACATTACACATTACTTACCACACAAGTTTTAAAAGATCCCCCAGATAGTTGCTAAACCGTCCCGACAGTGATTTTGCGCCCCTGTTGACTGGAAGTGGAGCGTCCCCCTTTCTCAGAGTGACGAGAGACCGACCATTCTAAACTGGGGGTGGACGGGTTGATGGATGGATGGATTCACTCCACCGATACGAAATGAACTGTAACGTGGTCATCAGAGGTCCGTGAAAAAATTAGCCTAAACAGACGACGATTGTTTTTAAAGTGTCCATAAAATGCTCTCTTCTAAATAGTTTTAAAATATGTTCTCACCCGACACCAACGAAAAATAGAACAGGCCATAATGCCAAAACATTAACAGACTGCCGGGTGGGGGTGTACTGTTTCTTCTTTCCTTTTTCCATTCTTGACCGACGAAGATATGAAAAGACTATCTCCAAAGTATGTAATAATACATAATTTTTGTATGCATTTCAAGTCAAATATTCTGAAAATACCGCCAAATGATAAGAACGTAAAAACATTGCCTATTTGATTTCACCTCAATAGCAAAATGTAATAGTCCAAATTCCGACGCACCAATCACAATCCAGGTTAGATGCACCAATCACGATACACGTTCTATTGCCAGAAAAGTTCCCGCCAGAAAGTTCGCATTCCGGAGGTGACAGCCGCGCAGCACAGCCGTCGGCATTTTGAGGTAAGAATTTAGAATTTTCTGCCGTAGAATTTCATGTTTCACCGGTGAATTACCTGGTATAGAGTACATACAGCAATCTGTTGTGTGTCCTGGCTTATTTTCGCTAATTTTTAAAACATTTCTGACACTCCCTTTGGCGTCAACTTCAGGTTTAGAATTGCTTACTCAGTGACAGGAATGTCTAAATTTTTCTGTCAGAAATTTAATTTTCATGAAATGGTACTTATTTTACAAAGACGTTGGTTATTACGGTCAAAGCATCGTGAAGGTGGAACTTTTTTTTGTATTTCTTCACATTTCCTGTCAGAAATCTTTGAAACGAAAGCCCGGGTCCATCAGTATATAGTTGCATACCGCTAAAATGAGTTAGATATTGTCTGTCAAAATTCGAAGAGGAATTAATTTTCCACCGAATGTTTACCTCAGAATCTTCAGTTAAAATGTTGTGACATCTAGTAGTATCACTTTCAGCTTAGTTTTAGCACATTTTATCGGGAAAATTTGAGAAATGTTGAGTAGCGGTCTCACGTAGGAGGTGTCCCGGCGAAACGGGCGCGTTGCTCCTTGTGTTGGCAAAGCATGGTGCGGCGCACTTGCGTCCGTCAAAATTTCGAGGCAATTTGATTTTCCACCCGATATTTACCTCAGAATCATTAGATAAGATGTTGTGACATCTAGTAGCATCACTTTTAGGTCGGTTTCAGCAGGTTTTATAGAGGAAATATTGAGAAAAAAGGCGGGAAAACAGGCGCGTGTCCCGTGTACCTGCTAGAAGTAGCCACATGCATATCGTTGGTCAAAATTTCAAGGTAAATTAATTTCTTCCCTCAAGTTTACCTCAGAATCACCAGACAAAATGTTGTGACATCTAGTAGTGGTGCTTTTAGATATTTTTCCTCAGAATTTATCGAGAAAATGTTGAAAAATGACGGCGGCTGACCGTCTGACTGAGCTGTCAATCATCGCTAGTGTCAGCACGTGGCAAGTGTACATGTTGTGTCAGAAGTTGCATTTAATTGTTATGTTCTCAGCCATTTTACCACACAATTAGGAGATTAAATGTTGTTACATCGAGTAGTACCACTTTCATGTTTATTTTGTAGTTTTATCGGGAAAATGTTGAAATATTGAGTAGCGGTCGGTCTCACGTGTGGGGCCCGGTGAAACAGGTGCGGGGTTCCGTGTACGTGTGTAGCCAGACCCGGTACGGGCCGAGAGTTGGGGACCAGTTACGATAGTTACAATCTTACTATAGCTGAGCTTGACCTATTTTCTGAAATTGTTTTATAAATCCTCAAGGAATTTGATTTTTTTAAATTTTGGGACGATGACGACTGACCGTCTGACTGAGCTGTCAATCATCGCCCTTACCTCAGAGTCAGACTTTAGTAGGTACGGGTGGCAAGTATTGCGCCAAAAGTTGTCTCAGAAGTGTTGTGTTCTCACAGATTTTCCTCACGATTGTCGAGAAAAGCGTAACTGAATTTAGTAGCGCCAATGTGTTTTTTCTGGGCTGATTTTTCGGAATGTTACAGAAAAATTAGCATGGTGCTGACAGACTCCGTACCGTAGCGTTCAACCTTATGTTTTCGGTGAAATTTGGCGAGGTCCCCGCCTGGATGGAGCCGGACTCACGGTCCTTTCCCGGGGAAATTTTTCTAACGTTGCAAATTCAGCGGTTTTGTTTCACTTTAACATGTTCTAATCCATGTTGAGTTTTTTTAACTTGCTTACACCTAACTAAATACATGATAAATACGTGAGTGAGCAGTGAGCAGCGCCACCTGGTTCACCAGCTTGGTACTGCAGATCGAATTGACTGATTCAGAAGCAAACCTGTTATGACTCAGATTCTGGAATAGATGGAAAATACTAACTGCAAACTGTCCTGATGTATACTAAAGTTTCTCTCCCCATTTTTACAGATCACCCTTTGCCTGATGCCGCTGTTTCCAGGTTGCTTTGAAGGACACAAGCATGAAGAAATGAAGACTTGTCCAACAGGTTAGTATGATACTTTGGTTTATTGCAATGCCATAAATTCACATTTAAAATATACTAATGTTTTCCTCCTTTTTACAGATCATCCTTTTGGCCGATGTCACCATTTCCAGTTTACTTTGAAGCAAGCAAGCTCAAGAAAAGAAGACAGCTTGTCAAATAGGTTAGTGTGTTTTCTTGCAATACTGTAAATTCCCATTTGAAGTACGCACCTGGCATATTTGGGCTGTTGAGAGACTATTCTGACCTTAAGCTGAGAAAACTTATTCCCTCTCCAATCTTGAACAAAATATGAACAGAATAAATTCAAATTCATGCTGTTTCTCAATGACTTCTATAGATGTCTTTGCTGTATAATCATGCAGCTTAGAATGTTTCACTATTTGGCAACCAGTCTTTTGTAACAATACAAACTTTTTACTTGTTCAATTGTTTCATGCTTAAGTGATTCCCAGACACTTTTTTGAGTGCTAAAATGTGTGTACTTTAATGGGGAATTTACAGTTACTAAGTTAAACGTAGGGAA